GAAACACCGGTGAGTCCAAAGGCTTACATGCGTGTCGACATCATATAATTGCCCTGTTCAAGGAGAGAGGGCTCTTTTTTTTTACTGTAATGACAGAGTAGTACTTCTAACGGGGTGTTGTTGTTGTTGCTTGTGGGCCTTGAAGTGATGAATCCTCATGCAGACAATTGTTGCAGGGGATCTGTAGTTGAATTTACAGAAGGGTGATGGTTACTGTACGTGAACTGGTTCTTGTAACTCCATATCATACACTACGATACTCTTTTTTCTTATTTTCTTTTTCTTTTTTTCTTGTAGATCTGTTGTTTAAAAGCTACAGAGCAAGCATACCTATATATCCATTGTACACTTCTCTGAGAGAATGCCCCGACAGATGTACGTCCCACTATTTCTCCTGCTCCTCTTGTTTGTACAGCTATGCAGCACGAGTGGAATCCTCGCTGAGGAGTCGACTGAAGTTGTGCGGGAGTTGCCCGTAAAAGGAGAGAATGCATCGCAGGCGTACACTGTCTACACGAAGGGACGCAAGCTGATCCGCATTCGTACTTCAACGAGGGATTTGCAAAACACGAAAAAGTACTGCAGCAAGGAGGGGATGTCGATCTGGGACTTTGAGGGCAATCCCATCAAGTGCCACAACTACAATGTCCTGAAGACAGAGGATATGCAATACCTGAAGAATGATGTCCTTCCGGCAGCCGTGAAATTGCACGCGGATCGTCTGCTGGTTGACCGTGTGAATGGTTCGTTGGTTGTTCCTGAGTTTGAAGAGGATAGTCTGTGCAGCTACTTTACCGTTCCACCTTCTCACCACTGCAAGGGTGTCAATAATACTGACATGGTACTCTATGTGGCGGCTAAGCCTGTGACCCCATTTGCTACTATTTGCGCCAGGGATGAATCTCGCCGTCCCATTGCTGCTGGCGTGAACCTCGCTTTCTACAGGAAGTATGGACTACGGTACAATGTTCGCATCACTGCTCACGAGATTGCCCATGCGCTTGGATTTAACTACGAGGACATGGTGAACGCCAGCATGGTGTCCAACATTACGGATGTGCGTGGCAAGAACCGTGTCACCCGTGCGCTGGTGACATCTAATAAAACACTGGAGAAAGCAAGGAAGCACTATGGATGCGACACTCTCAATGGCATGGAACTGGCTGATGACACGAACGATAAAAATGTGGTTTCGCCACACTGGGCCCATCGCATTGCGAAGGATGAGCTGATGAGTAGCTACACTGTGTTTGGCGCCGGCTACTACACTGCTCTGACGATGGCTTTCTTTGAGGATCTCAAGTACTATACCGCTAATTGGGGAATGGAAGAGCCGATGACTTGGGGTAACGACTCTGGCTGTGAATTCATTAACGATGCATGCACCAATGAGATGAAGAGAAAATATAATAACATGTTCTGTGACACAGAGAGTCCTCGGTGTACATCTGATCGCTTCGCCGTTGGGAGGTGCACATCATTCACGGGGTATAGAGTGTATACTGAACCTGATGAATGCCCGTTTGCGAAACCGGAACATGTCTACACATCTAATGGAATGCTTTCCGCTCTCTGTACCCTTACGGTGAACAATACTATTCCTGGGTCAGTGACGGGCAATGACTCTTGGTGCCTCGATGGGGATTCGCTCAAGGTGAATGATGTTGCCGGCAGAAAAAATAATGTCTCAGTGGGCGGTGTGTGCGCGCGAGTAAAGTGCGAGGGTAATGGTGTTTTGAAGGTCATGTACGCCGGGAACGACACATGGCACGATTGCTCTGAGGGACACTCACTGGAGCCATCGACAACGTCGTCGTCATTCGTAAGCGGGAAAATCAAGTGCCCCAAGTACAGTGAGGTGTGTACCATGGCCCCTAACGGCAGCAGTCTCCTCCGTCATATTGTTCCGTACCCGATATCACCAGAGGAAGCAGAATCTGCCACGGAGTCACTTCAGACATCCAATGAGGAGCGTACTGGTTCCAGTCAGCCTCCCAGAGACGTGCCACGAGAGACTGAAGGAGAAATGCCTTCCCTTATAGATGATGTGAATAGTCACTCGGTGAGCAACGGTGACGTCACTGCAGCGTCAACGGGTGTTGATGATTCTCCTTTGGGTTCTGTTCCATCACCTTCTACTCCAACTGCATCTACTACAGTCCCCGTACTTCTGGAAGAGAAGACTCTTGGGGTTCGTCACCCTGTGGATGGGGTCTCTGCTCTCTCTGGATTTGTTCATGTTGCCTTTCTTTTAATGGCTCTTGCCGCGGCGGTGCCTCTGTGATGAGGGATGTGGAGAGCCAAATGGACGACACAACCATCTCCAAACAGTGATCACCACATTGTAATGCACAACGTGTCCATTGGAGATGGTTAGACACCAACTGACATTGCATGGTCTTCATGGCTGAGGAAGTGAAGAGCGGTGACGATGACACATGCAGTACAGATACCTTGAATATATATATATATATATATATATATATTGTTTTTTTTTGTTTGTTTGCTTACACTACTTGGGCTGCAACTGGCACCAGCGACCCTTTTCTTCATTTACATGGCTAAGGTGCATTTCATCGTCACCGCGCTCACAGGCGAGGTCAGGAAGAAAATATGGGCTGAATAAGAAGATAAAATAACTTTTTGCTTTCATTCTCTTTTCTTTTTTTATGTGAAAATTAAAATTCTTTTTTTCTGTATGATATTCTTGGGGAGATGGAAGAGAAACAGTTGGAGGAGCTCTGCCGAGGTTTACTAGTGAGGTGTCCTTCGTGGGAGTGTGAATGATGTTTGTTCAAAAGCACAAGGATGCTGGGGTACGCTCTGTATGCCTGCTGAATTGCGTTCCTTTTATGTGAGGACAACTACTAATGTGAGTGTGCTTCATCTGGAGTTTTTCTTCTTTCTTTTCCTTGGTTAATGTGTGGTAAATAGAGAAAAAATAACTATTCTATTTGATTTGGACTTTTGTAATGAATTATATACATTCTTTGACTTCCGACAGAGTGAGAGGCTGGATT